GAAACCGGCACAGAGGATCCCTGCGATCCCCAGCCCTAGGAGTGAGCCGGCACAGGTGGAATGGGACCGGCCGCCCGAGCCCAGTGGAGGGCTGGGGCTAAGTGGGCAGAGACAGCCTGAGGGGCTGGATCCAGCGTGCTGTACGCCGTGGCTGGGTGTGTATACAGAACAGGATAGCCTGGGCCCCCTACCCCACCCCAAAAAAAGAAGGAAAAAAGGAACACTGCTGGTGTGCACTGTGGGTAGGGGCGCAACGCAGCTGGGCCGTAGCCTTTGTCTCCACATGCCTGTGGCACCATCACTGGCATGTTCTCGGGAGGAGAGGTGCAGCTCCCAGGTAAAGGCGGGGTTCAAGCCCGAATCTGTACCCAGGGGCCCCACAACTTCATAGGCGGGACTGAGAGTTGTTTACAGCCCGAGGCAGAGGGGACTGTTTGGCTCCGCGGGTGCGTTTGTGGACCCACGACTCCAAGACAAACAAGCAAGGTGCAGGGATCTGGCACACAGTGGGGGCGAGGGCAGGTGGGGCCCTTCAGTGGGCCTGCCTACCATGCACGGATGTGGCACTGGGGACAGCTCTGACTTGGTGGCACAACCACACAATCACCGCAGGGCTGGGGTTCTACCAGTGCAGGCCTCTAAGGTGAATGAGCAGAGTTCACACAGCGAGGGCAAGTGCAGGAGCCTCACTGGGCACCAGGGATGGCGCTACCCCAATAGTGCACCACAATCCAGGTGTGTGACCCAGAAGTTGGTGGGTCTGCACTGGCAGCTCTGAGGGCGGAGAACCTGGGGGACACCAGGGCAGAGCACTGACATTCCTGTGACTAAAGCAGGGACAAGGGCAGAATCAGCAGAGTATTTGAAGTGCTCCCACCCTGCCTACCACACACCGCAGCTCAGAAATGGGTCTGGAAGCCTCAATTCCAACAAAAGGGGAACAGACCAGGCCCCTGTCAGGGCTGTGACAAACACAGAACAAAAAGGAGGCCCCACTCAACATCGAGGGCAGGCTCTGATCACCACAACAACAGCCACAGCCCCAGTCAAAGGGATAACAGGCAACACAGGTGGAAGAAAGATACGGCAAACATACGTACTAAAAACAGACTTTGCAACAAAATTAGTAGAGGCGCACATTCTACACAGGAATGCATCCTCTTTAAAAACAAAACAGAACACACAAAAACGGCCCTTCAGGACCACAGTAGATAACTGATACCCCGTAAGCCACAGTGAGAGAGACAGAAGTCAAGTGAAGAAGCAGAGGAACCACTCCCAATTAAAAGAGCAAGAGAAATTCCCTCAAAGAACAATCAATGAAATAGACTCGACAGTCTGCTAGATCATGACTTCAAAAAGAGAGTGATCAGAGCACTGAGGGAAGTGAGAGGGACTATAGATAAAAATGCAGAATACTATCAAAAGGAAATAAAAACTATAATGGAGAGCCAATTAAAAACAGAAAACTCAATGGCTGAGATAAGAGCCAAGCTAAAAGCAGTCAAAAGCAGACTAGATAACGCAGAGGAGCAGAAAAGTGACTTAGAAGACAGGATAACAGAAGTCACCTGATCAGAACAACAGACAGAAAAGCAAGTGAAAACTAATGAAAGCAATACAAGGGGCCTGTATAATATAATATAAAGCATCCCAACCTACACATGATAGGGGTCCCAGAAGAAGAAAGGCAAAGGGGATCGAAAAGGTATTTGAAGAAATCATGACTGAGAACTTCCCAAACCTAAAGAGGGAATCAGATACCCAAGTACAGGAAGCCCAGAGGGTCTCTAACAATAAGAACCCAAACAGACCTACACCAAGACATATTCTAATTAAGATGGCCAAGGTTAAAGATAAAGGGATGATTCTAAAAGCAGCAAGAGAAAAATGAAGAGTTAGTTACAAGGGAACCCCCATAAGGCTCTCAGCTGATTTCCCTACACAAACATTGCAGGCCAGAAGGGAGTGGCATGAATGAGAAAAGCTGCACCCTAGGATGCTCTATCCAGCAAGGTTATCCTTTAGAGCAGAAGGAGAGATGAGGAATTTCACAGATAAGCAAAAAGTAAAAGAATTCAGCAATACTAAACCTATGCTGAAAGAAATATTGACAGGTGTACTCTGAATAGAAAAGACGCAGGACGCTACAGAAAGGGGAAAGCCATGATTGGAAAGGTGATAACTACAATGAATTACAACAGAATAAACATGAAGATGTAAAAGAGGACATCAAAATCCTTAAAGCTGGGAGAGGGGAACAAGAAAATATAGATTTCTTTTCTTTTTTTCATTCTTTTTAAGATATGTTATAGGGCTATCAGTTTAAAGCAAACAGATACAGTAATGAGTTAATACACCTGAAAAACAGGGTAACCACAAGTCAAAAACATACACTGCAGTCAAAGGAACCGAAAAGTAACCAAGATAAAACAAAAGAAAAATTCTGAACCCCAAGAAGAAAAAGAACAGAACAAACAGCAGAAAGTGAAGTAAGCCAGAAAGAGAAAGAAAAATACCATATATCACCCATATGCAGAATCTATAAAAAAAAGAAGAAAAAGAAAAGAGGACACTAATGAAGTCATCTACAAGACAGAAACAGACTCGCAGACTTAGTAAACAATCTTATGGTTACCAGGGGAAAGGAGGCTAGAAAAGGATAAATTTGGGAGTTTGAGATTTGCAAATGTTAGGCACTATGTGTAAAAACAGATTGAAAAAATGTCCTTCTGCATAGCACGTGGAACTATATTCAATATCTTGTAATAACCTTTAATGAAAAAGAATATGAAAACGAATATATGTATGCATACGCATGACTGGGACACTGTGCTGTACACCAGAAATCGACACATTGTAATTGACTGTACTTCAATAATAAACAAATAAAAATCAGAAATTAAAAATAAATCTACGTCTACATCAAAACAACAATGATGTGGGAAAAGAACGTGTCTAAAGATGAAAACTTGAAAACCCAGAGCATTCAGCTGGGTTGATGGGATTGGGTGACATTTCCCATTTTGCACATTTCCTCCTTAAGAACATCAGGTCTGTGATTAGAACTCAGGCGTGTGTCCTAAGCCTCCCTAAGTCTGGGCTTCCTCGGCTGCGGGGCTGAGAAGATGCGCCCTTGATCGCGGGCCACGCATGAAATGACACACGTATGGCAGCCAACGCTGGGCTCGCAGCTGCTTCGTGAGAGCAGGAGTGCTTGCTTGGCTGCTGCATTCCCAGGGCAGGGACACGGGCTCAGGGGAAGAGAGGCTCGTGCTTGCAGAGCCTCTGCCTGCAGGCACGCGATGGTGGCCGCGTCACAGCCAGCATCCCCGCCATCACCACTGGCATCGACAGATGGGACCCACCCTGGGTGACAGAGGGCGCACCAAGCATTCAAACTATTTTAAGGCTGGAAGCTATGTCGTCTGTAGGAGTGGCAGCCAAAGAAATGGAAACAGACAAAATCAGAGGAAGTAGGAAAGGAAGAGACTTGAAAGGAGATGGAGAGGAGGGAAAATAGCGGGAAAGCAAAGGAAGATTCAGAAACACACAAGCACAGCCCTAAGATTGATTTGTCCAGTACTTCAGGTGATGTATTTAAGGGGCGAGGACCCTGAAGAGCCACTTCTGGGATCTCGCAGAGGTGATAAAGGTAAGGACAGCAAGTTCAAGCACCTCTGAGCACCGGAGTACCCCCATCCCTGCTGATGGTGCTGGTCTGGGAAAATGCTCAGGGCACAGCCCCAGAAGATGTGCTCTTTACACTCGTGCACATGTGTGCATGCACACTTATCCATACAAACCCACACACGCACGTATGCACATATGCACAACCCCACAGCACACACACATGCATACACGTATGCAGAGACAGACACAGTCCACATGAATTCAAATCCACACGTGTACACAGAGACATGCACACACTCATGTACATTTACCCCACCTGTCCACAAGCATACACACGTGGTACATACAAACACATCCCCGCATGCATGTGCCACACAACACACACTTGCACATGAAATGTGAGCACCTATCCACCCAGACACATACCTCCCCCACAAAGCCACCCACAGACCAAGCCACCCACAGACCCACACACATGATCTAAATATACACATATGCCATCTATTTCTAAATGATATCCGGCTGTTACTGTAAACACTAGGTATTATGGTAATACCTATAAATGGAAATGTATGTGTGCATTTTTTTAAAGGTATGGTCAAGTACTTAATGCCTTGTATTTACAGTAAAAATAGCATCTCTTATAAACTGATCCCGTCCGTCCACCACAGGAAAACAAGCCTCCACCATCAGCACTCCGGTAAAGCACAGGATTCCGGGTTCTACCGGTTAAAAACCTCGCCCAGGGCTCTCGTACCATCCTCCTGGCCCCAGGACAGCGGATGAGGAAAAATGCTGAGAGAATGGTGAGCCCGGGACATGCAGCTGACAGTAGCTGGGGGTGGGAGGAACCCAGCCCGGCTCCCTCCAAGCCCGTGCCCTTCAGACTGGAGGGGACAGTGCTCTGCACCAGCAGGCGGGGTGCCCTGCGGCCTCAAGCCAAGCTGCAGGTGTAGGGCTGCCCAGGTGACTGTCTCTTCCTAGCAGCTCAGCCCCTCCCAGAGGCACCAAACCCTCAGTGCCAGCTCCCCAGCTCTCCTCTCCCTCCGCCTGAGTGTGTCTCCTCCACCGCCCGCACCTCGAGTCACCAACAGGGAAAACCCAGGGATGACGGAGGGCGATGGTTCTTCCGCCTCCCTTTCCAGGGTGCTGCTGCTGTCCTGTCTCCTCCAAACCACCAAGGGGCTGGCCCACAGAGGCAGGGGGGCCAACGGGGGCCTGAGGTTCCCCACCCAACTCCCAGGCAGGCCAGGCTGGCCCCACTCCCAGTGCCCTGCGGGCAGAAGGCTGCGCCGGCTCCATGCTCCCCGCCCCCCGTGCTCCCCACGACCCCCTGGGCGAGACCCCCCCCCCCCCCGCGCACTGACCTGCTTCTCATTCTCATCCTCCAGCCTCAGCCGGTCCTCAATGCAGTTCCGGGCCTGCAGGAAGGCCTTCCTCTGGGAGCGCTCAGCCAGGATCCTCACAAAGACCCCGTACATGTTCACACTGAGGAAGAGCAGGGCGTTGGCGCCGAGCTGGAGGGGAGAGAACAAAGCAGAGTGCTGGGCGCAGGGGTCCCCACTCCGCAGAGGCTCCTAGGAGTCCCCCGACAACCAGCCCATAATAGAACCACGCCAGCCAGACCCACGGTGCAAAGCCGCTTGGTTTCACATGGCCAAGGGCCAGGGAAGCAACCTCACCCCCTCACCCTATGCAGGGGCTACAAGCTTGTCACGTAATGGAATAATCTGCAAGGATACAAGGGCTGTGCCCCCAAAATTCACATGGAAGTCCTGACCCCCAATCTATCAGAGTGTGCCTGTATTTGGAGAGAGGGTCTTTTAGGATGTAATCAAGTTAAAATGAGGCCATGAGGGTGGGCCCTGGTCCGACACGACTGGTGTCCTTATAAAAGAGGATTACAACGCAGACAGGCACAGAGGGACGACCATGAGGACCCAGAGAGAAGACGGCCGTCTACACACCAAGGAGAGAGGCCTCAGGAGAAACCAGCCTCCAGAACTGTGAAAAGTCAGCGTCAACTGTGTAAGCCACCCAGTCGGTGGCACTTTGTTCCCACAGCCCTCGGAATTACCCTAGAAACTAAACATGAAGACAGTGATTATTTCCACAAAGGCTACATCTGGAGAGAAGCTGTGAAGGAGGGTTGATTAAAAACAGAGAGAAAGAAAGAACGGCATTTTGGTATGAAGTGAACCCCTGTGATATATGCATGAAGGTAAAAATGTGTCCAGAGCCTCTCCCAGTGCCCCTGGGTTTTCAGGCCACGTCGATGGACAAGCGAGAGACGGGCGCGGCTGAGAAGGACCCACTCCAGGGCAGCCGAGGCCCAGACTCAGAGGCTGGGACTTGCTCGACCAGGAAAGGATGCGTGAGTGAAGATGCAGGTCTGAGAGCAGCAGCATTTACTGCTTCCTGCTTCCACCTGCCTCAACTCCAGTCCAGTCCAGACCGCCCAGGACCGAGCCTGGGGGACTTTACACGGACAGAGGACCCACTCGCCCCTGGTCGCGCTGCACAGAGTGGCAGGCCTGGGGGAGGATCAGACCCCACTTCCCCACCGGTCCTCCGCAGCTGGTCTGTCCCTACCTCTTACGGCCACAAGAAAGGAGTGCCTTTTGTGGGCTGGGAGACCCAGCACATCCCCCCGGGGCCCCCAGACTGCTAACAGAAAGACAGAGAGAACCCCCGCCCACCTCCCGGTGGGGCTGCGGTGTTTACAACCACTGCACAAAACCGCTGCCTCTCAGCTGCTGCAAAATGGATGATTTTGTGCCTGATTAAACTCCAGCATTTCCTGCAGGTTCCAAGGGACACTGCTCCTCGTGGATTAACTGGAAGCACGCCCCACCCAGGACTGTCAGCCACACCCGATTGCACAGGGCAAACAGAGCAGTCCTTGGGCAGAGTCCAGGCAGCGATGGGCAAGGTGGCCTTAACAGGGTGAGCGGCAGGACGAGGAGAGAAAAGACCCAGGAGGTTGCAGTTGGCAGTGATGACCGTCTAGAGACATGAGAGCTGTTCACAGGAGGTGACAGGGAGCGAGGCCAAGGGACTCGAATCTGCAGGATCGCAGCTCACAATGGTCATCTCCCTAAACCCCCCAGTAGGGGGTGAGTTCCCCAGAAAGCTCAGCCAGGGCTGCTCCATCTCACGCACACCTGCCAGAGAGGCTGTGCACATCCCTACATCACACACAGTCTCACAAATATGCAAATATGCAAAAATATTCTGCCGCAGATCGCCTCATGAATCCTACCTCTGCCACCCAGGTCGAGGGACGGCCATTCTGAGGAGACAGGAGAGTGGACCAAAGTCCTATAAAAACGGTGCTCACTGTCACCCTGAAGACCTCATTGTGACTTGATCATCTCCATGTGACTGAACATCTCCACATGACCTGGACGTCTCCTTGTGACCCTGGACATCTCCACGTGACCTGACCATCTCCATGTGACCCAGGACATCTCCAAGTGACCCTGATCACCTTCACTGTGACCCTGAACGTCTCCAGGTCTGACTGCCCCCCAGCTGGGACATCTGTGCTTGAATCGGGTGCAGGGCTGGAACACAAATGCTCTTCTGGTGCCTGTACCAGCCTCTGGCCAGGCACGCGTGGCCAGCGCTGGCTGCACCTAGGGGAGCTGTGCTGAGCCCCTGCATCAGACATGTTTTCTGTGTCCAAAGGAACATCTGCTGTATTTTGGGATCAGCTCATGCCGATCTGTTTATGAAGGCAGTTGTCTGGTGGCGACAGGAAGACTGGCATCTATGAAACAATAAACTGCAGTTTGGTAGAGTCAATATTTAAATGTGCATCGAGAGTGTTTAAAACACCCACAGGCACAGCAGTAGATGCATTTCTAAAAATTCAAACAATAGTGAGTCTTTGCACAAAACGCGCTTCCCTCCCAGTAGACCCTTCATCACTCGTGGCATCGTCATGGCCCCTCCCAGCCTCAGCTTAAGGTTTGAACACACAGAACATACAACACACAGGACACCCTCCCTGGATGCAGCAGTAACCTCTCCTGAGATGCCCTCCCAGCCCGGTGCCCCCACAGCTTCCGCAGACCCCTGCGGTGGAGCCCAGCTGTCACTGTCAGGTGGGGGACACAGTCAGATAGAGGACAAAGAGTCCAACTGAGGGGCCAGGCGCCCAGGGTCGGCTCAGCACAGGGTGCAGGATGCCACAGGCCACCCTCTTGGGCCTGGCAGACATGGCTTTTCCAGAAAGCAAGGCCTCAGCTGGCTTGTGGCAGAAACAAGGGGAAGTAGGGGTCCCCACTAAGGTCTGGGCAGAGAGGTGAGACACGGGCTGGGAGGCAGAAGGGCCAGTAGAGGCTGGACAGTTTGGGAAAAATCAGTAGCAGAGTAGCGGCAGGCTGGGTCACTGGGAGTCCCAGCTTGTCACCTCCACTATACCCACCTTCATCACACCTTCCCTTTACTCCGGCCATGTAATCCCTCAGGGAGACCGAAGCCCCGCTGGGTGCTCACCGAGTACCTGGCTGCCCCGTCAGCACCGTCTGAGCTGCTCACATGGAGAGCAGCCCCAGGCCTGCTCCACAGTGCAAGCCTGGTGGGTAGGGTGAGGCAGGAGCAGAGATCCGGGAGTTGGTAGGGGATGGTTCCTCCCCTGCCTGGTGCTCTGCCTTCACATTAGTACACCCAGGGTGCTTCCAGGCACCGCTCTGACCTTCCCCCCAGGAAGGCAGATGAAGAGGCCACCCACATGACAGCAAAGCTGCCTGCACACCTGCCTCCCTCCTTCATTCACCGCCTCCCCGCAATCAGGAGCCACAGTGATGGGCACATGGCAGGGACAAGCCACGGGGCACAGGGAGGTTTCACGACTGGCTACCTAATCAGTAATCAGTGACAAGGATGACAAAGCAGAGAAAATCCGCCTAGAGGCCACCAGCCGGCAGGTGTGACCCGGAGAGGGTGCTGGTTCACACTGGCAGCAGGAGAGGTGATGGGGGAAACAGGCTGAGAGGGTTCTGAGCTCGGGGAAGGGTGTGTTGGGGTGGAGGCTGAGCATGTGGCCACAGGGCCTCCTGGAAGTGACAGGTTCTCACCACCCCCGCCCAGAAACCCCACTCTACAGACATGGGAACGCTGAGGAAGTTTGGGGCCCCAGCTGCAGAGGGCAGTACACAGCCAGGAGCCCCACATACTGGCCTCCCTGTACCTGCTCTGCACTCCTGGCCTCGGGGTACCTCCCCCACACACACCTGGCCTCAGCATACAAGGCCCCCAAGGACCTCCTTGCAACCCATGCTTCCCTGGAGGCCTGGGCCCTGCCTGGACCCCAATCCTACACCTTCCCCACCCTTTGAAGGCTTCCTTTTCCAGCTGAAACTCCACGGCCCAACAGGACAGCCCCCTGCCTTTCTCACACTCTGGAAATTCCAACCTGGTCAAAGCCAGCTCCATGCACATGCCCGGCACCGGCAGAGGACACACCCCCAGAGCCGTCTCCCACGAGCGCACATCCTCCAGTCATAAGGAAGTCATCGTCGTCTGCCCTTCCTCCCTCGGGGACCTCCCTCTAGCCATCCCAGCCAGTCCCGCTCCTTCACCAGCAGGGCTCCCCTCTCGCCCACAGCTGGGACCTGCCACTCTCTACTTTCACCCTCAGCAGCCGATGTATGACTATTTCTTTCCCTTGAAAATGAGATCCTTCTCTTGACTCCTCTTCCTTTCCCAGACCTTCCCATTTTCCTCCCCTTTCCAGCAGAACTCCTAGAAAAGACTCACCCTCCCCGACCCTGCCCCTGGCCTTGGCCCTACCCCAGCCTGCTTGCCCTTCCATGGCTGCTCTGGGCAATCTGTGACCAGGTCAGGGCCACCTTCACATCCTGAGCCCAGCCTACCCTGCTCAGGACCACCAGCTCCCCTGCCCTGGGCCCCTTCCCCAGCCTCACACCTGCACCCCTCTCCACCCCAAACATCACCCCTCCTGGTGTCTCATCCACGCTCAACTTGGAACTCCATCCCTGTGTCAAAGACCCCAAATCAACACTTTCAGCTTCACCCAGCCAGCTGCGCCCCTCCACAGCCCATGCATGTCTCCAGCTGGGGGTCTGCTCAACCCACCATGGGACAGGCCCTGGTGGAACCCCTGGTCACCCCCAACACTCACCCCAGCAGCCTCTCCCACTTCTGCTGACCAGGCCCCTGGAAAATGCACAGGCCATGGACTCATCTCCACCATCAGCAAATCCTACCAGCCCCTACTCAACAGATGGGGCACCTGGCCACCCCCAGTGCCAGCCGCCGCCTGGCTGCTGACAGTGCCTCCCCTGTTCTCCCAGGATCTCCTGAACTGAGCAGCCAAGGTCAGATGGCTCTGTCCTCTGCCTTAGCCTCCTGGCCCGGAGTCCCCCTGGGCCCAGAGCCCTCTGTGGCCTAGCCCTGATGCCCCTACATCCTACGCTCCTTGTGTCCCCCGGCCTGGCCTCCTCTGCTTGGGGCCTCTGGGCAGGAACCCTTTCCCCAATATGGCACCCGCTCACCCCCGCGACCTCT